CCTAATTAGAAAAAGTAGAACAAGTATCAAGTGATTCACTCTTTCTGCTGAAATTAGTGTAAAACACAAGTCACTTCTGTGAAACTTTTTGTTATTATATTTTTCAGCCTAAGTAGGTTAAGGTAGAGTCTTTGTTTTCTTTTAACATTAATTAACTCTTCACAAATTCTGCCCTCTCAAATATCTTATAGAATATGCAGCCTAAGCACCAAGGTGAATCCAAAGCAGTGATAACTGGTCATGGGTTAAAAATTTACTTGGGTTAATGAATAATATATGGCAAAGTAAAACTCATACCAGGGTAGAGAAACTTTTTTTTTTAAATAAATTTATTTATTTAAATTAGTTTCAAGTATACAGTATGTTGGTTAGACATTTATATTGTTCATAAAACAATTCCCCAATTGCTCCCTCCCTCCCCTGGCCCTCCACTTAGCCATCATATTAATGCTAACTGCATTCCCTGTGCCATGCTCCCTATCCTCATGCTCAACTATCAACTACTAATTTGTACTTCTTTAATCCTTCACCCAATTCTCCCAGTTCCCTAATCCACCTCCTCTCTGTCTGTCCACTATATTTGTGAGTCTGTTTTTGATTAGTTTGTTCTTTTTGTTCCTTAGATTCCACATATAAGTGAAAGAGAAACTTTTTTAATACAATGAAAATTCAAAAAAGAAGATAATTCTGACTAGGGAAAAAGATGGAAATCTTAGCAATATTTGGAGAAATGGGGGATAAAAGGAGGAAAAAGCAAGGGAGCCAGAATAAATATATACTTGAATCATTCCTTCCCTCAACCCCACAGGGCAGAGTCTATGCTGTAAATGAATATATGAAACACGTATAATGAACAAGCATTATATTTTTCTCAGGCTATGAACATCTTTCTCTTAAGCCTTCTTCATTACACATTTTCCTCATCAGAAGGGAATTATTTCTGTCTTGACAAGCATCAAAGATATCTCTGTTTTCAGTTATTCTTCAGTTACTCTGTGATAAATGAAGACAGTTTTCCATCTGTGAGCAAAGAAG